CGTAAGGCAACAATATACACGGCACCAGACAGATATAATAACGCTATTGGTGGAAATAAGATGCATTAGCGAATGGAAATTTGAATGGTAAGCTCATTTGAATTATTCTCATTTGCCGCGTTCGTACCAAGTTAAAGGAGAGTTGATCCATTTAACCATTTATCTCTTTTAATATTACGAACTTGCGGTATCGTAAATTTTTATATTAACTGAATTAAAATACGCGCACTCGTTCAAGCGAGTTGAGCACGTGCTTGAAACAATTTTTTTTTAAATTTATTTTTATAATTTCTACGATTGTTTATATCAGTTGAAAAAATATCATTCAAAAGTGGCTAAATTACTAAAATTTTATAAGATTTAAATGAATTTTTGATATAGAAAATTTTTTCTATATCCCTAATTATAGTATAAAATATCTATTATTCCGTATTTTTCATAGTTTGGAAAACTAATAATGTAAAATACTTTATTTATATTTTTCAAGATTTTTTTTATATATTATTTCATTAATTAATTCCTAATAAACAAACAGAATATAAGTAACAACAAAATAAATAAAGATATCGATAGAGATATTTTTTAGCCTCTAATCAGGTGCTATTTTACGAGGAACAAGTGCCAAATCAACAAACTGTAGTAAATACGAGGGGTCTCAACGCGAGAGGAAAAAACATAGTGTGGCCATTTGCGGGCATTTAAATAATCAAGAGGCAGGAACGTCGCGGCGCGGATGTGACAGAGAATTAGTCGGTAAAGATGTTTAAAAGGGCCAATAGTATACAGGGCGGTTTCCTTTCTCAGGAATTATGCTCCCTGCCCGCGTGGGCTGACCCTCTCGGTGTTCGTCTCGCGGAAGTTCACCATTAAAACAGCTGGATCGAGCCAGATCTCGCGAGACGAATCTGCCCGCTTCACTGTCACGGGTCTGACCTCGAATACGGATATCCTTTAAATCCTCACAAGAATCCTCAGATCCAATAAAATGAACCATAATCCATAGGGACTTGGATTTGGAAATTGATGGTTTTGTCATTGTATTTCCTTATGAAAATATATATTGAGTTTGTAATATAAATCTAAAAATAATAGATATACTAGAAACCGTGATCCTGTATGAAATGTCGATTCATTTGAATTATCTTTGAAATGGAATCCAGAATATCGATGTTGCGATATTCATCTAGGGAATTTTTTTGATCACTAGAAATTTGATATTTACGAAATGTAGAAAGTTTTTTCAATTTTTAAGAAGTTTTTATTTCTTAAAAATTGAAATAATCAATATGAATATGCGTTTCATATATAAAAAATGACAAATATTAATTTTGACTCATAGTAAAGTCATAAAATTACTATGTGTGTTAAAATGTTAAAATAATCTATTTACTTTATTTCTTTAATTTACTTAATTTTAATTTTAAATTATATTATTATTATATTTATTTATAATATATTTAAAAATATATTACAATAGTATCGATAGTTCTTTTAATTTATATTATTCATTCTTTGCGTAATAAAGAAATGATAATGTTTGTAGTTAAGCATTATTTAAATTAACATGATTAATGAAATATAGACGTGAAGTAATAACTATGATAAATATTCATTGTAAATATATCTATATGACACAAGTTTTATGAAGATTTTTGTAAATCAGTTGAAATTCGCTATTATAAATATTAATATATAACAAATTAAATTATTAGAAATAAAGAAAATCAAAAATGTAACGATGCGAATAGGACTTTAAGATGGAATACTGTTTAATTAAATTACATTGGTTGATTTTATATTGAATTATGGAAAAAGAGTTTCTTTCAGTGATATTGCATGTGAAATTGCATAATAAAAGTGAAATTTCAAAAGATATTTCTTTGAATGAATCTTCATCCTTGAATGAATTATATATAAATTACATAGTATAACGCATTACTTATATCTCATTAAAAAATAAAATTCATAATATAGAATATAAAAATACTTCAGTAAAATAATCAGAAATTATTTTAATTATTAATATCATCATTTTAATTTATATTGAAAAAGAAGAATCTATATATCGTCTAATAAATTCACAATACATGTTGTGATATGAAAATCAAGCATAAAAATTTCTCACTCAAAAATAATTGCATTGTGAAATAATTTTCTAATCTTAATATTCTAAAATCTATTTATTTCTTAAAAAATAAAAATAAATTTTCATAACTATATAATATTATTGGTGTGAAAATAAAGACATAATGATAATCGAAATATTATGAACTTCACGTAGTGACGTCAGCGACATCTGATCATAGATCAAAATAAATTTATGGTTAAGATAACCTACAAATACATCTATTAAATTTCTAACTCTACAAAATAATTAAATGGAGAATAATTTAAATAAAAAAAGAGTAATAATGCAAAAATCAAGAAAAAAAAACGTGAAAAATCACTACAAATGTCTTTCAAAGACGAGTCATGTCATGTCATGACAGTGTTGAATAAGCAACAGAAGAGAAATTGAACGAGGAAATACAGTAGACACACTGGAAGCGTGTGCACGGCCCCCTGACACACATCGACTCGTTAAAATAACAACATAATGGCTAATTTAGCGATAATAAGCGCGAACCGTATCGTTCAAATTAGCGTCGAAGGTGAGACGAGAACGATAAAGAGGGGCATCCGAGGAACAAGAAAAAAAAGGAGAAGAGAAAACCAGACTAGCTTATATGTCACAAGTTACCACGTTGTTCTCTCAATGTCCACCTCCTGCCATCTCGTGGCAATTTTATAAAACATTTCTCTTAGTCAGAACTGTATTTTGATTTTTACTTCTGATCGTTATTTTCGATTTTTTTCTACAATAAATATAAAATATATTTAATTAATCATTAAATTCAAATATTTGTTATCCAACTTATCATAAATATTTTCTTTTTTATCAATAATGAAATTATAAATTTTATTAAAAATTGTAAAATATAAAAAAATAGTTCTATTTCAGTCGATTTAATGATAATTATATAATGTAATATGAAAAATTAAAACTCTATCTAAAATAACAATGGAAGCAATAAATGAAAAGATAGAAACATAGTCACATATAATCTTGTCGACTATAATACAGTGATTGAGATCAACGACCTTCGACAAAAACATTTACAATGGCTATTGTACAAATGAAATAATCTCAATCGCATTTTGTATTATTGATTTTCATCAAGACTACATAACGGAGCAATTTTCAGAGTTAATTAAGTAACATTGTTACTATTTTTTTCAAAATATTACATAAATTTCTCTAAATATTAATATTATTTCTAAATATATATATTATATTTTATTACATTATATTATATCTCATATATGATGATTTTTTATATGGATTCCGGAAATCAAGGTCGCATATCGTATTATAAAAATAAAGTTGCTTTCCACGTTCAACAAATGGCAACTTGCCAAAATAGAAAACAGCCTCGAACAAATGCTATTCAAATCCAAAAATATTAACCACAGAAAAAAATAACTACAAAAGGAAATTGTAATTAAAATTTATCATTAACTTTGTTTCAAATAATGATAATTAATAACACAAAATAATATAATATCAACAATCTATTTATATTTCAAATAATTAGATCCTACATAAAATAATGTAATAATTGTGATAAAATATAATTATTATGAAATATAATTACTATCTCATCAACTGTTTTCTACATTGATATGCTAATATTACAACATAGAACACAAAATAATTTAGATATTTTTATCTCTAGTCATTGATTATATAGTTTTAGTAGAAAGGAATTAAAAAGTAATCTATAATACTACATTTTCTAGGGGATTTTATTCCTTGTTATTTCCTTTTTTCCTATGGGATGGCTATCATTACTATATTTGAACCTTGACACATATCTATAAACTTTCTAAAGAGAAACTAATCACACAAAAATGTTTAGTTATATTTATGTAGATATATATTACAACATTTTAAATATTTATAATAGAATTCTATATCAAATATCGTATTCTACAAATAAACTATGGTTTTTTAATGAAATACAACTGCACAAATAAAAATATGTTTCAAATTTATAGAATATATATATTTATTGTTATATATTGATATAATATATATAATATATAATATATATATTATTGTTATATATTGATATAATAAAGATCTATAAGCTTTAGTATTATAGAGCAAGAAAACGTAATTTAATACAATATAAAATATCTTCTGCATTTATGCATATAAGTCGGCCAATTGCTTATGTATTAACCGCTGTATATTAATGTGCATTAACATTTCCATAAGTGAAAAAACAAGTATACTTTACTAAGTATACTATACTAAAGCCACATGCATATTACTTTTCGAGATAGTATGATAGAAAGAAAAAATACAAGTCAATCCATAATTCATTTGATCTCATAGATCGTATTTCTATTACTGTCAACGAAAAATCATACTTTGCAGATACAATTACACGCACATGTTTCACGTGGATTCGTATGATTATATAATAAATTCACTTATTAAAAAGTGTCATTTATGAAAAAGGAATATTATAAATAAATAAAAGTTTAAAAAAGAATTAAATAGGTTAATGCATTTTAACGAATTTTTTTTAACAAATGCATATTTTATATCTTTTATATATTTATGCAAAAAAGATTATATTAATTATATTAACTATTATCTGTAGATTCTAAAATATATCAATGAAAAATATTAATGAAAAATGACTATTCAAGGGCGTGGTTTACCGGTCAGTATGACGTCTGAACACGACGCGTGGCCTGTCGTCGAATGAAGCGCGCGAATACAATTAGTAACGATCGCAAGTTCAATGAATTAATCGATAACGCAGAAAAATCATATATAACAAATTTGATTTGAATATTTTTTATTTAAGTATCCTACACTTGCATTGTCATCGAAACCATGTTGAATATATATATAGAGATAAAAAAAATCAAAAAATGTTACTGACCTCGGTTGCTAGCTTTCCTTTCGACGCCATCTTGACAACAATGATGGCTGTCGGTCGATGTTCCGACTACCTGCTGCACACGCTACACTTATGATGATCAAATGAATCCTACGATTATGTACGATATACACTAATATTCAATCGCAAACACACCTGAACCGAACTCGAACATTCACTTTCGTCGGATTAGAATAAATTGTATGCGAACACAATTCGTAACGATGTTTCACGCAACTGTACCGAAATACTGTGTACTGACGTCACGGCACGAAGCTTCTTTTCGTACTACACGTAGTACGAGGAGTACGAGTTTACAAGCGATACGAAGGCACCCCGACTCATCACAATCATGCCCCTCCACTTTGAACGACCGATACAAGTCCCTTTCACTCACTCACTCTATAATTATAATACGTAATTCTTTCCCCTTCTCATGACATATTATACACTCTTTCACTCTATTGCGTTCTCGCAAAAGCAATACTCGTATAGTTATCCTTTTTCATTCTGAATAATCTTTCTTTATTTACAATACATTGATATTCATGCGTTAAAATTATATATAGAACTATGTATACTGTCTGTTTTCATTCTCAAATTATTGATAATTATTGGAAAAATAGTTAATAATTTCGTTATTTCCATATAATATTCATATATATCTTGTTGCACATAACTAATAAAAGAATTCATGAGATTGAGGTTAGGTGTTAGAAATCGTCACGTCCCATTCTGTTTCTTTCTTCATTGAGGTTCCATCGGGGTGAAGGGAGATTCACTTTAATTTAAAGCGAATTAACCTTCCTGTACACTTTTGCCCTCACTGATCTTCCTTAGTTAAGTGCGGTCAAACGTCACATTCTTTTTACGAATTTTAAACCGCACGGAAACGCGCCATACTATGACATAAATATCGAACCATTATATCGATCGGTAAAAATGATACTCGATCTACTCGATAAATTTGCTGCAGTAGAAAATTGTTTTCGAGATTACTAAGAAGTAATCTTGTGAAGATGGTAGATCGTAAAATAATCAAATTACTTTGTGAGTGTTACAGTCGATTAGTTTAACATAGAATTAAAGTGTCGCCTACGTTTTGAGTTTGATTGTCCATTTATTTTCTGCTCACGCAGCTGTTACGAACACTATTCGCGATATGATAGGATTGTATCGATATTATAAATGCTGAATGTTAACTGTAAATGGATAATGGATAGAATGGGTGAGTTTCATATAATATATTCCATTGCTTATATTAAATTTGAAATCTGAGAAATTATTATGATTAATTTTAAAAAAATTAAGCTTCTCTGAAAATATTTTTAAAGTACAGAGATCTACATAGCCATCTGTAATACTTAAGAAGATTCATTCTATAATATGATCTCTGCACCCGTACATGCAAATATTCAGCTATTTTTCACCCGATACATTACCATCGGATGCTTTAAGAGAAAACATTCGTGTAGAAAGAAGCTTCACTCAAGAAGTTAAGCGCATGCAAAGCTCGCATTTCCTTGCATTTGTATATTCCATCTCTTTCTTTCTTCTCTGTCAATACCTTTCATCATATCGCGTTGTCTCATTCGTTCTCTTTGCAAGATTATACATATATGTATATATGTATTGAACATACTTTAAAGGCATCTGTGTGTGACATTGCGCGCGACCTGTTTATTTTCGGGCTGGTTCTCATATGCGAGGCACGCCTAGACTCCTGAATCATTATTGACAAACCTTTGGTGGAATCGGTATTATACGTACATGTGCTATAAAGTGAAAGATATGAGAGAACAAAGATGAAAATAGAGAATAAGACAGAAGGACAAAAGAAATATGTACGAAGAAGAGAATGCGAATCCCATGTAGTCTTGCGTGGGTCGGTAAATCCATTTCGCTCTCATGTTCCCTTTTTAGCGGCCGATTCGAACAGAACCAGTGATGGCTATAAAACGGAAGCAACCATACATAGAAGTTTTCTTTTCTTCTTCTTTTTGAATATATATGTTTTCCATGATATGTATTTACTGCATTCACACAAACGGTAATATTATTTCTATTTTATCTTACATATTGATTCGTTCCTGTAAACGTCATTCACATAGAAATATATATAGGAATAAAAAAGGATTAATTGCTCAAAGCTATAGACGCAAACAATTGATGTGAAGTGCATATTCTCTATACAAAAAAGATTAGGATGAGAAATGAAAAAAAAAATAGACTTAAGAATATGGACTTATCAGTTATCTCTGTTAATAATCAATCAACTAATTTGATTAAATTAACTGATTCAAGTTGATATTTCGTAGTTATCTTTTAAATCATTCATTTAGAAAGATATAAAATTAGAGAATATACTTCTTCTTTTTTATTTTTAAAAAAGAAATTATTCAAATACTTGAACGTGTAATTAATTTTGTATATTGTAATTTTGAATATATGTTTCATTAACTTGAAAATTCATTAACTTGAAAATTAATAAGATTTCTATCTTTTAAATAATGGACTGTTTATAAATTACAAAAATGAAATAAAAAGAAATAATTGATAATCCACAGAGCAAAATTTCGAACAAAATTATCCAATATATCCAATGAATATTCAATAAATTTCCATCAGAATGAGCAACTACAAGGCTTTATCATAGTAGAAAATTCTTTCTCGTGGTCGACGCAATTTCGACCATAATTTACTTAATAATGGAATCAAATAATAATATACACACGAATTATTATTTCTTTTTAAAAATTTGTTACTTCAGAAATTTTTATCTATTGATTTTAATGATATATTTTTAATTTTATTTTTTTAATTCTATCTATTTTCTCTTTTAATCTAAGTAATTATTTTATAAATATATTATTTGAAATATTTAATATTTATATAAATTTTTAATATTTAAAAAGAATTTATGAAATAAATATCTAAAAAATATACGGTTAAACACAAATTGAAATATCTTTAAAATTTAAGAGTAGAATTTTTCGAATTCTCGACAATTGTTCATAGTAAGAGTGTGTTTAAATGTGTCACTAGATATCTTTCAGAGCGACCGGGTCGATCGTTGTGCAGGGATGTGGGTCAGGCATACGCCCGAACCCCCTGGATTTTCATCTCGTCCCTTTCTCCGATAAACATAGGTTTGTAATGCGTAATTCTGACGCAACATCATTTGTCTCCTATCTTATAAAATTCAATAATCCATTCAAATATTTATTTCAGAATATTCTCTGGAATCTTCGGAACTTTTTATAAAAAAATTTTCTTTACGACGGTCATTATCTAAACTCGATTATGTCTACTTATCTTGGAAATAAGAAAATAAATTTCGTCTGTCATGAAAGTGTAATTAGGTAACTTAAGATCCTCGTTAAAAACTTTTTAATTTTATAATCATGTTACTTTATCGCTATCTTTTTCATGTATTTAAAAAGTGAATAATAATTTCAAAAAATATGCAATCAATAAATATACAATGTGTTCAAAAGGTCAATGAAAAATATTGATATTCATTATTATTTTACTTATTTAATATTTTATTATAATAATTCATAAATAATACAATCATATTGTAAAATCGTAACCATATTTTAAATTTTAGTCGACAACCTTAGCTGGGATCTTGAAGCATACTTGAGAATTGTTATTTTCATCAACAAGAGATAATTGGATGGTCAGAGCGACTTTTGGATAGGCTTTCAAAACTGGCATTTTAAGGTAATAAGTAGCTGCTTGTCCAGTTTGCAATGGGCATTGTCCGTTCACCAAATTCTTGCAAGCGTTTTGTTCTGGGAGTGGGTATTGCATATGGCTATTTCCTAGGTCAACATCTACTACGGGTTTCAGAGTTTTCGTGTTTGCAACTGTAACAGATTATTAATAAATAGAAAATATAACATACAATTTAATCATGACATGAATATATTTATAACACGATAATGCTGTATCACATTTTAATTAATTGTATTGTTTAACGTCTGTTACATTATTCTATCACATATATTTTATATTGTAATTTTTGCATATATAATAAAAAAGACATTAGAATTTGTTTTGATTGTTACATAACACGTATTAAGAATTTGTCTTTCATTATTTTACAATAGTTTTAGATTTTATTTTAATATTTATAAATTGTATTTCTACTTACCAGCTTTAAAGTCAACGTTAGCCTCAACATTAGTTCCTCTAACCAAATTGCAAGGCAGACTATCGCAACCTAAAATCTTCACATTCGTTGGGGCTGGTTGACCGTCGCAGGGCACGTAAGCTTGCATCGAGTTGGCGATGAAGAGCACCGCAAATATGTAAACTGCAATCACAAGTGTGTATACTTTATTAAGGATTATAAGGATTATAATTAAATAATAGAATAGAAATATAAATTTGAAATAGAATTTTTTCTGAAATTCCAAGAAAAATTCTATTCTCTTTGAATATCTCTATTAATTTATCATTTCAAACTCTTATTAAGTTAATATCTCTTAAAATAATATTTCTATAGCTTTGAACATTATCGAATTTTCTAGATGCATACAATATGTAAAATATTAAAATTAATAGTGATGTTTTTCATTCAAAATTAAATAATATTTAAAAAAAAGTAATGAAAATTTATTATTTTATTAATGTGTGTTCAGAAACTAATTAATACATACCATAGGTAAGGATTGCCATTTTGGATTGCTACTTCTTTCGTGTTCAAAGTAACTGAAAATCATTGGATTGCGGGTAGGTATTTATTGGCGGTTACTATCTAATCATCAAACATCAAAAACGATTATCATTGACAACCTTTGAAAACACTTCAAAAACACACCTGACATCCAAAGAAGTATGTCTGCGACATATTTTATCGATAAAAATTGTAAGGTAATAAAGCAACATTTGTGTTCATTCAATCAAATAAAATCTATCCTCTATTTCTTCTTTGATAATCACGATTATCATTGCAGGTGGCAGCTGTGAAAACTAAATCTTTGTGTACTTTACTATCATGCCACATTGACTTTTTGTTTTAAGTAATTACTATTTTATCGATATAATTTTTAGATCACACGTATTAATTGGATTCGAATTTGCTCATTTTTAATTAAGAAAAACTGTCCCATATTAAATTTCTTTTAATTTGAATAAACATAAAACACATTTCTAAATTTCTTCTAAATATTTCTGTTACATATACGATAAGAAAGAAAAGAAAAAAAATAATTCAAAATTCCAAGTTAAATGAATTAAAAAATTATTTATTTCATTTAATACATAACAATTTTATTTTTATTTATTTTTATTTATAAAAAATTTTTCTTTTTATACAAACATAAATATTCTCGATTAAATTTTTAAGTTAAATTAATTTTTCGCAATCCATGGAACTTGTTGAATCATTAACATTTTTTCGTCCATAAAGGGGCTTGTATAAATTTCTGGACCAGTCTATCTCGCAAACAAATCGGCGAGATCATAAATAAAGTGTGATAAATGAAATATCGCCATGATTCATTCCTAAATTGACATTTAAAAAAATATGTTAGCCATGTATGTGATAAAAGAACGTAGCGCTGATTAAAAAAATTCAAGATTTTACGCGCAACTGATTTTTTCTATTAGTCAAGCTCAGGTGTTTCGATGCAGGTGTTAAACGAAATGAAAAATGGCATTACATCATGAAGATGTTTATCAAAATCAACAAGATAAGTAGTATAAATTTTAGTCTTAGTAATTTCATAATCATACGATTCAGTCAACGAAAATCTACACTCATATATATTATTCCATTCGTTTAACACAGTAACATATTTTATATTTTATATTTTATAATTATTTGTAATTAATATTAGATTATTAATATTGATTCGTTTTTTCTTGAATTATATTCATTTTTTAATTGTTCAAAATTTCATTCAATAGACATACTTGTAAATTGCCGATGGATATTTATCTAGGAGAGCACCTTCGAAAATCTCGTAGATACCCTTGTCTTGTAGCTTTTTCAAAGTCGTATCTTGTCCTATAGAAGTGAAATATTGCGAATATCTGGTGAAATAATCACCGTAAAACGTTTTCGCCTCCTCGGACATCGATCTTCTCATCGTCTCGAAGTGTTCAACTTGTCGTGTTAATATATTGCTCTCATTTACGAACGAACCTATGCGAATATGCGAGGTAAGCAATTATTCGTTATTCCTTCTAACAATAATTTATAAACATTATTCGTATAACACATATTAAAAAATATTTCAGAGAAACAGAACAGAGTTTATCAAAAAATATCTAGAGATAATTCTTTTTCATCGAACGAAATTGCTAGGTAAATTATTATTCTAAATATAATAATAAAAATCATAATAATAAAAGGATGGAAAAATATTATTTTTGCATAAAATTGTTCTATTCCTATTGAACAATTTTTTATAGTTTAATTCCAGTAAATTATTTTTTGATTACGGACCAGGGATAAAGCGAACGACCTTAATGCCATACTTCTTCAACTCCATTCTAATGGCAGTGGCCCAAGCATTGAGGGCAGCTTTTGTCCCACTGTAAGCTGCTACTCCCGGAATCGGTTGGATGTTACAGTGGCTCGAGATTACGATAATCCGGCTGAAGTGGGCGCGAATCATCGGCATCAGTTCTTGAGTGATTCTCATAGTGCCCAGCAAATTCACTTCTATTTGATTCCTAAGCTGCTCGTCTGTTTGCCATTCGAATTCACCGAAGATCATTATCGCCGCATTATTGATCAAACACCGTAACACTAAAACCAGTATTCTCATGTGATCGTTTATCCTTTTTCGTTTTTCGAATTCATATTCTCAATTATTCAATTATTTCTTTATCTTTGATTTAAGCATATATATATATATATATATATCGACTATACAGAATGTTCATGTTATTAATTTTTCTAAATATATTTTTTTAAATGATACATTTATGAAAAGAATACCTTTTAAGCAAAATTTTATTATTAATATTGTAAAATTTTTCTATTTTTTTCATAAAACATTTATCTAAAAAGTATTAAGAATTAATAACTTGAGTATCTGTATGCATATATATATATATATATATATATGTTTGTATGATTATATTTTAACGCAAATAAAATTTACCTAAATTATTTTGCGTCAAGACTGTTCGAACAGAGTTCGCAAAATTTTCAATACTTTTAATTTTTGTTACATCCAAGGGATAAACGAGCACATTTTCGTTTTCTAATTGTTTAGCTCCGGGTCCATCGATTTGCAATACACTAGCGATTACAATTGCCCCAAGCTGCCGACAATGCAGAGCCAGACTATATCCCAATCCTGAATCGCAACCAGTCACGATAATAGCATGATTTGAGAATATTTTATCCCGAGATTTAATACAGCAATATAAGTAAGTAGCACCTGAAAAATTATTTTAAATATTTTTTTTTTCCAAATCATAATAGCATCGATAATTAAGAATTTGATGATAATATCATATTCTTTATTAAATGTTTACAATATCTAAATGTTTATCAATTAAATATATTAAACGATTTAATAACAGCACGTTATATTGAATTAACTTTCTCGCTGATGACGCATATTGATAAATATAATCTACCGGTAAATAGATAAGGGATAATAAAATTAGAAACATAAAGTCAAGTATTATTCATATTTCAAAGATATATCTGATATAAATCTCATCTTTAATTTCTATTACGATATAAAAATATTAGTAATAGAATATTCTTTTACGAAAATTATAAATCATTAGTAATAAAACATAATTGATCTTTATTTAAATTACAAAATTCTTACCGATACCACATAAAGAAATTGTTGATGCCAAATATTTGTATCCCTTGTTCCACAAATAAAAAAGGGCAATAGAAGTTGTTAGATCGGTTATAAATACCGTAGAATATGTTTTAATATACTTTATAAATCGCATTTTTAAAATTATCAGTCGTAATTTACCCCAAAGATAATACTAATCTTTCAACTTGTTGATTGAAAATTTGTCTACTTTTTATTTATATGTACAAAATCTTTTTCAAAATAAAAAAAAAGATGAAAACTAAAAATAATACACTTGATACATTAACAAGAAATATAAATAAAATATTGATACGTTACATGTAAAGTATCTATGAAAAAAGTTAAAATTGAAGTTCAAATTTTTTATTAATACTTATTTATAACGGAAATAAATAAGAAGGAATGTTTCCGTTTTAAATGAAATATACGATTTGATAATTAAATTTAATAATAAATAATAATAAATTTTTCACAATATAAAAATCACTTGATCACTGCGCATTATTAGAATATAGAATAATAATAAACACGTGAAACGAAACGATAGTATCCTCGTCTTGATCGCAAATGGCTGCTATGGGACGTGAAAAGAAAGAAAACAAAACATCCCCACTCTTCTACTGTAGTTCACAGTGATTCTTTTAAAATTCGAAAGAAAATTTATAAAATTTGTGCAATTTCTAAACAAAATAACAATTATTTAAGCGTGATATAATATTTCTATTTATTACAAAAGTAAAGATATTTTTTTCATTTTTTTTTTTTGTATAAAGTATTTTTCTTTAATATAAAATTAATTCAATATATCAGTTTGATCTGTTAAGAGACTTTAATATTTCATGAACATTCTCTCTTGGATTTATAGTGAAATTCTCATTTAAATTGTAAAAATGTCAAATCACGCATGAATAAAAGAAATAGGATAATTTTCTGCTATAATTTTTTTCTATAATAAAAATATTATTAAAAACAACTGAAAGGATTTCTTATTTTAATACATGTATTCCTACTCCTTTTAACAAAATTGAAAATATTAGAATTTGGAGAATATTAGAGAACAGTCAGTTTAATTAGATTTTAATGTTATTTTAAAATAAATGTAATAACATAAATAATAAAATTATGTGTTTCTGATTAAAACCGCTATCACAATAAAATCTTTTCTGAATATAGCTTATTTCTATTGACGGCAATAATATCGGGAATATAAGAACTGTTTTCGTTTAATCTTCGCGCATGATGATATAAAAAACTAACTGATTCATATAATCACAAAATTTTTTGTAAATTTATAAGTCTTTACAGATCGAAATATACAGCTTAATATTAAGGTATACTTTACACAAAAATCAACAGATATTAAGGCTAGCAATACATTATATCTTATGCTAATTATTCTTTTAGAATGAAATTATAAAACAATGAATACATATTCGTTCGACTATACTCGTTATTCCATTATTTTACAAGCTTCAATTATTGCTTCCACACATATTATATGCTTCATTTATATTATATTCTCATAGTTTTTTTAAATTTTGATTTTAAAAAAACTAGAGAATATTAAATACCAGCAGATTTGTCGGCGACTAAAATATTAGGATCCGCATGAAGATCGTAACTTGGATCGCCATCTGTAGCCATCCTTCCGAGCCATGAGAAGAGAATTAACATTCCGATAAAAGCTAATATACCCATAATACCTAGCACTGCATATCTCTTGTACAATGGTCCAGGTGAGTTTCTACGCCGTGTTGGTGGACTAACTATCAATTTCCACCATCTTAAGAACCATTCAATGGCAGATTTTCTTCTATATTTATTTTCATCATGATCAAAAGATATTTCTTTTGGATCATCATAAGCTTCACAAACTTTTCTTGATGTTGGTTGTGATAATCCCATAGACGAATCAATATTTACAATTGAATAGGGTGGCCCAACTTTTTGATTATTTAAATGCACATTATTTATATTAGTATGAACTGAATTAACATTGCTAATAGAACGTGATGTAGTTGTTGATGGTGATGAAGTTGTATGATTTTGATATGATGTAGTTTCAATTCTTAATGAAGGATGCTCTTGTTCTGGTTTTTGTTCCCTATCTTCACTGAGCTAAAAATAATTTTTAATAAATTGATATTTATTTATCTTTAATACATATATATAAATAATTATATAAATAAATAAAATACATACCAAAGGTAAACCTAAACCAGCACGTGCCCAATTTACTCCTGCTAATTTTTCTCTTAATACATCTGCTACAGGAGATACTAATTTTGAATCTGGAAATATGCGTTCTTTACAAGTTGGACATGTATATCCTGCTGGTGCAGTAGTTGCTGGTAATTCTCTGGCATATTTATCCAAACATGTCCAATGATACATATGATAACATGTTAATCGTACACAATCTCCTTCACTTAAATTTACTGAACATAATGTACAAATTGGATTATAATCATGATCATGAAGCCACAAAATATATGACTGAACAATACACTGAAAAAAAAAATATAAATATTTATAAATATCATCAAAAAAAATGAAAAAATTAAATTACTTATAAATTAATTAAGTTTATAAGTAATTTCTTTATATGTATTAATTTTGTATTTATGATTTTTTTTATTAAAGTAAGTTCTTTATAAATTTCTTAATTATATAATATATATTATTCATAATTATATATTGAATAATAGTATATAATATTATAAGGTATTATATACCTTTGGATGATTTGTGACCATACAATGTTCACAAACATTGACACGGTGTTCAAAACAAAATAGGTTTGTAACTCTTCTTTTCGGACACTTGCACAATCCCATAATTATAATAAAATAACGTATTTATAACATTAAATAAATTATAACAATTCGGTAAAAGACTAGTTAATTAAAAACACTTTTACAAATATGTATTTTCACATGACATATCGTGGCCTTACAAAAATTTAAGCTTCTTATATGATGCGGCTTCCATATTTCGATAGCCACGTCGTCTGACATTTCATGCAAATATAGATAAATGAACCAATAAGAATCTTTTATTTGGACGTCAAATGAACATATGTACATGACATAAATACGTACGTATTCTTCATACAAATTTTTTAATGATAATTTATATAAAAAAAAAATATCATTTATAAAAATAATATCAAGAAAAAAATTCTTTTTCAAATTCCAAAAATTATCTTTATTATTTCATAATATTCTAATTTCATAATAATCTAATATATAACACGATAAAATAACAATAATTATTAAAAAAATAATAATAATCAAAATATAAATATGTTTAAAGCATAATGTTCATTATTCTTTACAATAATCTTAAATTAATTAAAAACATATTTACATAGCGAAGTACCAGATAGATCTAACTTTTAATGAAATTTTATTTTTTATATTCTAAAATACCAATCACGTAAAAAAATCAAAATATTTGAAATGCCCTCAACGATTATTAAAGTTGAAAATCAATAGATTTTAAAAATTCTTTTAATTATTCATTTTTTCATAAATATTCTAATGCGTCATTATATATTGAATTGTATTTAAAGGTATTTATAGATCTTTTGTTAATTACAAATAATAGATAAATTTATGTATGAATTGAATTATTTATGAATTAAAAATTATATATTGATATTTTTTGTTAAAACACAATGAAAATAATATATAATTTATAGAATATATAAGATGTAGATGCTTATAATATATAAAAACTGAATTAAATTAAATAGATAAATTGAATAATTAATAAATAGATTAAAATTTTTAATCGATAAGTTAGACAAGAAAAAACAAAATTAATTGAGAATAGTATTAAAATAATAAGAGAATCTTAATATCTTCGAATTATAAAAATCTTTTAAATATTAAAATGGCTGTATTATGTCGTATCATAAAATGCATAGAAAAAAATATATTATCAATAGGACGAAATAGAAATATAACATTATCAGCAACAAATCATATCAAAGAAAGTAAGTAATATTAAATAAGTAAAGAGAATTATTAAAATATAATAATATGTATTTCATGATTTGATGATTTCATGATTTCTAACCTATATTTTTAAATTTCGTAGTAATCGAAAAGAAAGAAGGAAACACTTTAACTATTGAAGCCGTAATAAAAGCAGATAAAAATGATGAACGATTTTTAAAACCTAAAAATGGGGCATGTCCTATTTGTTCTTCTGGTCTTAATATTAAACATACAGTAAGATTTTGATAATTTATTGTATATATAATATTTTGTCTGTTACATATTTTAATATTCTAATATTTTAATATTTTAATATTTTAGGATGTTCTCATTCTAAATCAATTTGTTAGATCAGATGGTTGTATATTGCCACGTAGGATTACAGGTCTTTGTGAAGTACAACAAAAAAGAATTAGTTCATTAATTCAAATGGCTCAATATGCAGGTTAGTTTAATAATAATATTAATAATAAATAACAAATTTAAAATATAATAATTATATAATTTGTAAAAGACAAATAGAATAATTCATCTATTTATTAGGACTAATGCAAAGGAGAGCTCCTAATGGTGGTCTACTTCATCCTTTACAAAGAAGAAAGTGGAAAAAATTTAATAGTTATTATGATGAAAAAACTATTAAAGCTAGATATGTATAATAATTAATTGTTAATAATAAATTATAGAAATTATAAAAAATAATTTAATTATTATATTTTAAATAATATGATTTTTATTATTACATATTTTTTAAATATTACATATTTACATATTTTAAATTATATATTTTTTATCGTATTTAAATGAATCCTGAATGAATGAATTGTTTATAATTAATAACATTGTGTCCTATTTCATTCTTTAAATTCAAATATATATAAACGTATAGGTTAAGAATCATGTTTACATCTAAATTAATAAAGACTCCATGGGGTACGATTCAAAAAAGATACGTATCAAAAGGAACCACAATTATAAAAAAAGAACATGGAGAACATGAAATTTCGAAAATTCGAAACATTGGAATTTTGGCACATATTGATGCTGGTTCGTTTATGATATACTTGTCACTATTAACCTATACAAATTTTTATTTTTATGAATTCACTATTTTGATAATGATTTTCTAGGAAAAACTACTACCACAGAAAGAATGCTATATTATTCGGGGCTTATTAAACATATGGGAGAAGTTCATCATGGAAATACAGTAACAGATTATATGGATCAGGAACGTCAACGCGGTATAACAATAACCTCTGCAGCGGTGACATTTGAATGGAAAAATTATTGTATTAATTTAATTGATACCCCAGGACATATTGACTTCACAATGGAAGTGGAGCAAACTTTAAGAGTATTAGATGGAGCAGTAGTTATATTAGATGGAAGTGCAGGTGTCGAGGCTCAAACATTAACAGTATGTAGACAAGCTGATAAATATGATATACCAAGAATTATTTATATAAATAAAATGGATAGAATAGATGCTAATTTTGATACTAGTTTAAAATCTATTGAATCTAAATTGCACACAGAAGTTTTGCCTGTACAATTTCCAATTAAAGAAAAAGGAATTTTAGAAGGAATCGTAGATACTATTTCTTTAGAAAAAATTATATTTGATAAAAAAGATATGGGCAAGAAACTTTCTAGATTCAAATTAACTGAAGATAAGGATAAAGCTTTATGGGAAATGGCAAATGAAAAGCGTAGAGATTTAACTGATAAATTGTCCAATATGGATGACAAATTGGCTGATACAATTATAGAACAGGAATCTTTAGATGCAATAACACCACAAATGCTGGCTGATTCTTTATATAGGGCAACCATAAATAGAAAAGGTGTTCCTGTACTTTTAGGTAGTTCTTATAAAAATATAGGAGTACAACCTTTAATGGACAGTATATTATTATATTTACCATCACCCAATGCAAGTAAACATTCTAAGTATTATCATTGTTTTGATAATAAATTATGTGCCAGAGCATTTAAAGTCGTTCATGATAAACAAAAAGGACCGATCACATTTTTTAGAATTTATAATGGTAGCATAGAGAAAGGTACAAAATTATATAATGTTCGTACAGAAAAAAAAGAACAAGTAGGAAAATTGTATATCGCATACGCTGATGAATACGAAGAAATAAAAAAAATTTCACAGGGTAATATTGCAGCGATAACAGGATTAACAAGTACCTCAGCCGGTGATTTAATATCAGTAGGATCAACAGCGATAGAAGAAGCAGAAAAAAAACTGAAAGCGCAAAAAGATGTTAAACCAGAAGATGTGGATAAAATATTTGATTACAATTCAAAGACATTAGAACCAGTCTTTTTCTGTTCGATAGAAGCACCATCGTTATCTATGCAAACAGCTTTAGAAAAGGCTCTCCAAGAACTTGAAAGAGAAGATCCAAGTTTGAGAGTTACTCAAAATGAAGAGACTGGTCAGATTGTACTTGGAGGCATGGGTGAATTACATCTCGAAATTATTAAAGAAAGAATTAATACGGAATATAAAATCGATGCCGATTTAGGCCCCTTGCAAATTTCCTACAGAGAGACTATCAAGGAACCTATTCAAGATACTTTTTCGAGTGAATATAAAATAGGAGATATTAATACAAAAGTTACAATAACCATGTCATTAATACCAAATTATGAAGATAAAGAGACTTTCTTATTAGACAAATCGATGGATTATATTAATACTAAAATACCAAAGAATATAATGAAAGTTGTGAAAAATAGTGTTAAATCAGTTCTTTTAAACGGACCAAAATTATCTTATCCTATCTTAAATATGGGTATTAAACTGCATAATTTAGAATATGGACCAAATGCTACCTCGTCGATAATTAATGCTGCTGTTTCACAATGTATTAGACAGGTAATTTTTTTCCTTTGTTTTTCTTTACATATTTATAATAAAGAAATATTCAAAATTATAAGTAATGACTAAAAAAACGTTGATAAGGAAAAACTGTTTTTGATTTTGAACTACAAGAAACTTCAAGAAATGGTATTAAACAAAAGAAACAAAATTTTAATATTATTACAATTAATATTAAAAATAAATCAATTGATAATTTTTTAATTTAATCGATAGTCATATCGTTTAAATACTTTCGTCACGTTTAGATTGCTCGTCAATCTTCTTCATCTCAGAAATCTGTTTCTTTTCAGATTTCAATTCAGACAATAGAAGCAAAGATTTCGGTTTTCGTTCCAATATTCTTTTGCTTAAAATCTTTTTCGTTAAATCGTTGTTAATCAAAGATTTCTCTTGAGGAAAAAAGTATCTATGCTTCCAGTTTTCCTGTATCATATTACTCTCTTTACGTTTTTCCTCGTTGCATATATAAGTTTCCGTAAACGTTCGCAAAACACCAATTCTTTTTAATGCATCTTCTGAAATACGATTATAATTGAACGGTTTCTTCGAGTGTAGTATTGGAAAAGCATAAGGCTTCATTGCAGTATTGTCTTTCAGTTCTGAGACTTGTAAAAGTTTAGTGTCCTGCCTGTTGAAGAATTCGTTGATCAATATATCTGTCTTGATCTGTAAATTTCTTAAAAAGTCTTCATCGGTCAATTTTGATACGGTAGAAACAATTTTAGAACAATTTTGTCTAGTAGTTTCTCCAGCACTTAGATCTTCAATACTGAATTGTTTCGAGAATTTCAAATTGTTACTCTTCAATTTGCTCTTGATCTTTTTCGCATTAGTTTGCGTAGCTCTTTCTACAGTATGAATACCCCATTTTAGCATATAAGAATCAAGAAATTTGTGATATAACGTTGGACAAACTTCTTGATCGTCATAATGTTTGTCTATGAAATATATTCTACGCAAACGACAATTGCCGCAAATTTGAATTCTTTGCGCAGTAGCATATTCTTGCTTGAAAGCAGTTTGCGTTAAACTTGCTAAATTCAATTCTAATTTATTCCAACCGGTTTCTAGCTTCACCTTCACGCGACAAATTACAGCCTTAGAATTTTGTTTCTCCGATTCCAAATTCGTGAATTGAAAATTATGCAAACAATTTTGATTGTCCATTATCTAATTTGATATATAAACATTATTTATACAATTTAAAAATAAGAAATACATTTTTAAAATGATTATTATTATTTATAGAATATTACCTGCAATTGTATACGACATTGTAGATTCAAGTTCTTTATAACTACAACTAAAATTGGCAATTTGATATTGAGAAATTGAGAAGAATCAGAGGGACAAGTGATGGAAGTCCCATACCCATGTTGTTCGAAATCTTGTAACTCGATCACCTATCCATCATTTAATAGTAATTTAAAGTTCATTGATTAAAAGTAAACAATAGTTAATATAGTAGCAGTTATCAAAATTAACCTACATTTTCTAATAAATCCGAATCTAAGATTTTACGAATACGACCCGACTGTGACTGTTGCTTACTCCAATACTCTAAAGGTTTTTCGCTGATACTATATAACAAAGACACATATCCAGAAATCATGAAATTACGAAATTATTTCACAAAAGGCAAAAGCATTTGTGCAAATTTAATACTTTAAAATTTACATTTTTTTCTTCGTTTGTTTTCTTGTGACAGACTTCAAATACTTGATCTATATTCTTTTAATCTTTTCCCTATCAAGAACAATTGTTTTTGATTTGTCTTATTTATAGATATTTATACATATTATTTGTACATATATGGCTCGTTAATAATAGAAATAGTTATAACTTGTGTATGTATTTTAGTTAATGAAGAGTGCTGGCGTTGCTCTTTTAGAACCGATAATGCGATTGGAGATTGTAGTTCCTGAAGATTATTTAAGCGTTATCCTCAAAGACTTGGCAAAAAGGCGCGCAGAAGTAAAGTACATTGATGTCTTTAAACAAAACAAGGTAAAAATATTCCTTCTTCTCTTTTAAAATAATAATAGATCAATAATAGATCAAAAGTGATATAACTATGAATTATGAAAACAGATAGTCTACTGTCTTGCCCCATTAGCCGAATTATTAGGATATTCAACGACGGTGAGGATAATTTCGTCAGGACATGCAACGTTTACGTTGGAATTCGATCACTACGAATTAATGGATTCAGCCAGTGAAGCAGATGCGATTAAAAGAGTAACTGGTTTTTATTATCGTTAAATAAAAAAATAAAAATTAGAAAACTCTTTTCAAAATCATACGATATCATTCAAATCAAATATTCGTTGTATTTTAAGAATTTAATTGTACAAAGATAGATTTATGAAAATTATTTACAAATTAATCCATTTAATAATTAAAAATCATGAATGAATCAATTTTTTTCTCAATCTCTATCTCTCCGTAAAGAGATTTCCATGCGAAGTAATCGGTACGATACACAAAATTAAAAACACATTATTATTCTTGGACAAAATTACATACTCGATCGTTCCTTTATTCATTCGATCTAATCAAAATATATTGCAGCATTTATCAATGGTGCTTTACAATTCTTCTTTCTTATTTACGATCATCGATCGCGGCCGCCGATTACGTGGCTGAAATCGAGCAGCTTGTAAAAATGGTATCTTTACCTAAAAATTTATACATAGTATATTTATATATAATAGTAAAAAAAGAAAAGGAAAGAAAAAAAAAAAGGGAGAAAATGTAAGAAAAAGAAGGAAGTCTTATCGAAGAAATACCGGCCAGCCTCGCAAGCAGCAGCCGCGCATAAATATATTAATATTGCTTAAAGATCATGCAAAAATGTCATACATAGTAAAATATATGTATGTATATATATTATATGTATGGAGGGATTACATGTAATAGGGTGAGAGACTTGTAAACACGTCATTTGCACGTAAAAATCTTCCACTTCCGTTTGTACGCGTAATCGGAAGCGGTTTCGGCGCGATTCTCAGTTTCTTGGGAATGCGACGAAAACAGGACTGAATTCTCGATAAAAAAAATATATGTGTAATATATACATATATTTTCCCGTCGAGCCGCTGGTTTATTACCTTTGAATTGTGCTGTATGACGCATGATTGAAAATCAGGCACGATTCAAAGGTGTGGCCCTTATAAACGCGTTCTTAATCTACGAAATATGGTTCTTGAGCGCTAAAACCGAACGTCTTAAACTTCTAAGCTCGGCTTATTTTTTTCAACTGACAATACAGTAATTATTATAAAAAATTAATTTTTCGCCAACCATGGCGATATTTTTTATATATAAAAAAAAAAAAAAAAAAAAATGAAAGAGAAAACCGTGGAAATTTTAATACCCTCGGTTTTTTTTTTTATATAATTCTAATTCGTTTGCGTAAAAACGTTCGCACGAAATAATAAATAAATACAATTACGTACAATATATTATATATCACTTGCCTGTAAACACACTTGTGTGTCTACAATTATTCATTATTAAATGATGCAAAAAAATACTTCGCTTCTTTTTTCGAATGTCTATGCGATTCACGTTTCCTAAAGCGCATGTTATTAACAAGGAATATCCCATTTTTCTTCCTTTTTTTCTTTATTTTTGTCATTGGCAAAATCGAATTTATCAAAAAGTACTTTTCATAAAGATGCAAATGTTTTCGACAAGTTTATTTTACGATGCGTGAATCCATGATAGAAACACAAATACTGAATTTTTCGATATACGATTCTAGTAAAATATTCTCGTCATAAAAAATTACCAGAATCTCGCAACAAAGGTCAACTCGATTCATCTTTATACAATTGGATAATACATATACATATAATAAACATTGTCATTGTGTCGATTTTTATTATCTTATCGTTTTCTCACAATAAAAACGAGTCTTTTGCCTCGTATATACAAACAGGAAATTCATCTTTCAATACCATTGGAAAAATGCAATCAAAACGCGTGTCTTCTCATCAATCGATGAAATGGTACACACGATCTCTTTATCTTCTCAAATACAATGAACAAACAGTTGATGAAAATGACAAATTTGTAGAGTATAATTACAAATGTGAAAGTGTAACGTGGATGTCGAGTGATTGAGGACCGAGCGAGAGAGATCGAATATATTGGACTAGAGTATTGGTTGGTGAGTGAAGAGCGATTCCAAGAATATAATGTTATTTCGCGAGGATCGGGATCGAACGAGGGCAATCGACGAGAATCGAACGAAGATGATCCCGAATAAAATATATTTGATACGTAAGAACAATTTGATATGGAAAATTATGTGTTATACAAAGAGGGCAAGAACCGCCACGATGAACGAGGAACGAAGATGGGCTTGTTGAATTCTTTTCTCGAAATGTATTTTGCAGAGAGAGAGAAAGAGAGAGAGAGAGAAAGAAAATGAGTTTCGTTATACGATTATCTATTAAAACATTATTTGTCTTTGGAGAATATTAATTTAAAACGAGAAAAATGTATATCAAATTAGGAGAAGAAAAATGAGTTAAAGTTAAAGAAAAATGTGGCTATCGCCAAAACGCCCTCTTAATTCCTCATTATTATTATTCCTATTTTTTTAGGTATGGGAAGGCTCTAATCCTACAATACTCGGCTATCCTGTACTGATTCCCTGAATATTTAAAGCGTACTCTACTTCTTTGTCTTCGTGTTCGAACACACTCTCCTAGTTCAACAGAAATTCTTAATTTTTTCCAGGAGATGTGCATCCTTTCGCTTGGTTCTTTAAAAATACAATTTTTTTTTTTAATTTCGTCATCATCGTCGCTGCCTCGTGTAGTCGTAGATGCTTCCATACCTCCTGGATTATAATCCTCAAACATAAGAATCGAGGGGAGATAAGGCAAAAGTACCTTCTTCTTCCTCGTTGTTATTGCTCCTGTTTGTCAGGTATGGAGATCCCGATCCTACATCACGGGTAGTGATGCGCTTTGAAACGCTTTCGAATCGCTTCGAATTATATACACGTGGTGAAAACATTGAATTACTTCGAACATGATCCGATAGTTAAAGACTCTTGAAAGTCCTGATAAATCTTAAACTTTTGAATCTTTGAAGACTCAAAATATTACCAAGATTCAAGATTTAAGATTTATCGAGAGTTTCAAGGGTTTTAAGTATCGAATCATGCTCGAAGGATTCGAATTTTCACAGTATTGAAAAACTTCGAATCGGTTCGAAGTTAAGATTCGAACGCTCATCGGTAATCACGGGTTTCACATCCGGAGGAGACGCGGAACGAAGTCGGCAGACTGCTCTGTGAGCTTCCAGGATAAACTCGAGCTCGTCTTTGGCCTGTTGCAGCTGTTGTATCTCTTCTTGCAAACTCTGTTTCTTCTGTTCCAAACCCTCAGTCTCCTGTCAAATAAATTCATAAAGAAAAAGATAAGAAACTGTACATAATACTCATCCTTACGATTATCGTTTCTATTTGAAAAGACAATCATTAAAAAAAGAAAAAGAAAAGTTTGTAATTAAAATTTTTCTTCACCAACCCAAGCATATTAAATATACTGAAACTATTTTCTTTGATTAAAATTGAAATTGAAATTCAAAATAGATTCCATCGATTATTTACTTCTAACAGGGCATTGGTGTGATCCATTCTTCGCTTGCGGCATCTAGCTGCTGCCATTTTATTTCTTTCTCTGCGAATCTGTCGTCTCTCTTCCTCCTCGGGAGTCATCCCGATCGTCCTGGTGGGCCTCCTACCACCCATATTGCGCCTCGCTGGCTGCTGCGGCTGTTGCGACTGCTGTGGCTGCTGTGGTTGCGTCTGTTGACTGTCCACGAGGGTGGTATTGGTGGCCACAGGGGCGGCGACGGTGGTGGTAACAACGTGATGCGCCGCCGTGTTTTGCGTTTGTGCCGGCGTCGGTTGCGAAGGTTCCACCAACGGTGGGACGAACCCTGCTTCGCGACTGTGCGACGCTGACTCACTGGTCAGCTCCAGAAAAGTCTGTTCGATACTCCGGAGCGTCGTTGGCGTCAACGTCGGCGTCGTCCTGGTCGGCACTCCGCTGTGCAGACCGTCCAGGGAAACAAGCTGTAACGAATACGTATGCAATTAATTTATGCAATGATTTTTTTTCTTAATAACGATTTTAATTTAAAAAAAAAAAAAAAGTGTGGAACGTGCTTGATGGATAAAACAATATAGCTTAGTATCGATGAACATCCATATGTTTGATGCAAAATTCTTCGAAAAATTATTTTCTCTTTGTTCTATTCGATTATTATATGAGACAAATCTGTGTACCTTATTTAGAGACTTGATTAAATTGTGTTTTAAACCTTAGATAATGTTACAATTGTTTGAAGTATTCTTATTATTTCAGCACCTGCACTGCACTAAAAATAACACCTTGTTTGTCTAAACCGCAAAAAGCAAACTTACTAAGCGCTGTCCAAACATTAGCCTCCACGGTTATGCGAAATCAGCATAAAATCAACATAGAATTAACGAAATTGATATATTATTTTTCAGTAATGATAATGATAACACGCGCATTATACGAGCGACTAGCGCACAGCTCGATGACCGTGCAACACAGCACAAAACGCGAGTTTACCAGATGTGGAGAGATAACAAAACAGTTAGGAAACCGATGTTTTTCGACGGTGGCTGTGGAACGCGATTGCCTTTCAAACGAATTGCGCATTAGATCACCACTCAGTTTATTACCCGATCAGATATATATATAAAACAAAAAAAAAAAAAAAAAATTCATCGGATTATCGACAAGGTGCTGTTAGGCAATGAAACCAATTCCAATAAACGCTTTCATTTCAAGGAAAAAGAGGGCGTTACGCAAGTAGTCAGAAAAAGAATTAAGAAAAGGAGAGATCACTAACAGAGAGATACGCGATATTTCCATCAACGTTATCATTTCGCCTTTTTGCTTCGATATCACTTCGTACCGCTAATCCACCAAGATCTTCCCGATAAA